TCCTTCCATATTCATGTTTGACGCGAATTTGGGACTATCTCGGATTGTAGTAGCTGCGAAGGCAGCCAGCTCACACATTTACTAGACACACCATCAGTCAAGTGTGTGCTGTGCGTTCCGTGGCTGACTATCGGATTGGACATCAAACAACAACGTTCCCTTCTAACCCTTGGTATGTAGACTCTGGTGTGTGTAAACGGGGCTTGATTGGGCTGTATTGTGCATAAATGGGTTTGCCGGCCCTGTCAGTCCATCCCACATCAGAAAACTGGCCGGTTTAGACGGCGGCTTGATGCTGGTGGTGGAGGAGTGAGTGAGGCCAATTACTCAGCGCATTATTTTCGTCCCTATAAACAATCTGACGCGCTTAAAGCTCTTACGGTGTGCCAAATTGGTGGCTTGGAGGGTTGCCAACTGACGGGAAACTCGGAGAGTGTGGTCAGTCCAGTGTGTATTTTCTTGTGTGGAGCGGCTTACCGGAAGATTGGGAGACAGGCTGCAATAAATCCCTCTTAATCTGGCCAAAACTGAGCAAATCCAACACTGGCCATAGCCTACGTGTGTCTCTGAACTGCGTATTTTTCTGGGTCTGGCTTCCTATTACCGCCGGTTTATTAAAGATTTCTCGCGTATCGCGGCCTCCTTAAATCGGCTTATGTGTAATGATGCCGTGTTCAACTAGTCTAGGGAATTTGCTAGCTCATATCGGGAGCTCAAGCGTCTCCTTACCTCACCCCCGCTGTTGGCGTTCCCCAACATTTCGGGCTCAGCCCCTCCTTTTATTTTGGAAACAGACGCTTCTGATGTGACCATTGGGGCGGTCCTTTCGCAGCAGCAGGCGGACGGACTCCAGCATCCTCTCCTTTTTGCCAATCAGTCCCTCTCTAAGGCCGAAAGAAATTATTCTACACCCAAAAAGAACTTCTTGCTGTCCTGACTTTCTTTAAGAAGTTCCACCAATACCTCGCCGGCAAAACGTTCATAATACGCACTGACCATCAGGCGCTACGTTGGTTGGAGAATTTCAAGGACCCGACTGGCCAACTCGCTCGGTAGCAGGCAGACCTCTCGGAGTACTCCTACACGGTCTTGCATCGCGCCGGCAAGAAACAGTAAAACGCAGACGCCTTGTCCCATAGGGCACGAACGCCATCGCCTCCAGACGTCCCAGCGGCTGCCATTGCGATTAGTAATTCGGATCGCTCACAGTGGGCTTCAGTCCAGGCCGCAGACCCATATATCTTTGATTTACGATCAGCTCCGCAATGGTGCTTCAAAACCGTCAAGTGAGGAAATGAGGGTCTCCAGTTGGGAGACTCGCTGCCTTTGGTCAGCATAGAACAGCCTTTGCCTCTGCAACGACGTTCTTTATCTCCAATATTCCGATACTGACCCCCGCCGCTTGGTTTTACCTCACGATACTACTAACTCCATACTTTCACGCCTCCACAGTGAACTGAGTCACGCCGGTCAGGCTCGCACCGACGTTGCCGCAAGAAAATGATTTTGGTGTCCGAATCAACGCCGGATAATTCAGGATATCTGTAATACCTGCCCCGCATGCACGGAGGTCAAAAACCCTAACCCATCCTATCGTGAACCACTCCAGCCCATTCAGGCAGGCTATCCTAACGAGATTGTTAGCGTGGACCTG